GGTCTGAATTGGTCTGTAACAAGGTAGGCGCTGATACTATATGGGGTTGACAGGGATGCCTTTGAGGTAGAGAGAAGGTACGCGGTACAAGGCAAAACGAACACGCACGCATTTTTCACTCGGTGAAGCACGCGTGCGTGCGTTCCACTCCATGGCAGCAAAGCGTCCGTCTGCGATGGTGGGGTGATTGCGAGTGCCTGCGTGCAAGAATGCGTGCGTGCGCGTCTGAGCGAGTGCGTGAGTGAGTGTGGCAGTGGACGAGAGATGTGGAGGTGATTGGGCTCGCCGATGACCGGTACGGGGAGTGCCGGGATCGGTTGCTGTGGAGGAGGGGGCCTCGTGAAGGACGCTGCCGCGCACACGCACCGAGCTACCTTTGCGATGCAACTGCACGGGATCTCTCTGGCGTCCAACCGCGACGAGGGCGTCGCGATTTGTCGGTTACGGTCAAGACGCCCGCACAGTATTAACCGGGGTGGCCTGCCGGATTTGAAACCGCGAAACTCTGCAACAAAGGGGGAGCCTCTCCCCCCTCTGCGCCACGGCTGGGCCCACGTCACTGCCGCCCCCCCCCCCCCGCCCACCGTAATAGCTGGCCGGACGGCAGACAACTGTCCGCCACGGTCCGCGTTTCGTAACGCACAAACGGTGCAAACGGATTGAGTAAAAATCTAATTGCTTTGAAAACAAAAAGAATGAAAAAATTAAGAAAAAAAAATTAATAAAAAAAGGAAAGAAAAATATAGAAAAGGGGAAAAAAGGAAAGAAGAAAGAAAAAAAAAGGAAAGAAATAAAAGAAAGAAAAAAAGTATAAAAAAGGAAAGAATTTTTTTTTGTAAAAAGGAAAGAAAAGGATAGAAAAATGAAAGAAAAAAAGGAAAGAAGAAAGAAAGAAGTAAATAAATAAAAAAGATAGAAAAAAAATGACAAAGGAAATAAAGAAAAGATAAAATTAAAGAAAAAAGGAAAAAAGGAAAGAAAAGGATAGAAAAATGAAAGAAAAAAGGAAAGAAATGAGAAAGAAAAAGAAAAAAGACGAAAAATTTAAGAAAGAAAAAGAAAGAAAAAAAAAGAAAAAAGAGAAAAATTTATTTTTAAAAACCCACGAGTCGTGTCCCGGTCGACCCGCGGCGCGCCGGCGGATTCCTCCGCCCCGCTCCGGACGGCCCCGCCCGGGTCAAAGGTTACCGTAGTGGCAGGACTGCTGGAAGTCCGAGATGACCCTGAGGATGTTGTTCATCTGGATGGAGCGCTGCTCGTTCTCCATGATGCTGTCAGAGGCCGGGTACGCAGAGTCGATGTAGATGAGATCCGACAGGTAGATCCCTGCGTGGCGCACAGGGCAACGGCGGCGACGGTGAGTTACACCTCCTCCGTGGACTCGCGGATGGCGCCCACCGCCAGTGTGCCTGCTCGTGCCACCGTAGGTCGAGCGGCTATTCAACTAAACGACTTAGGAGGATATTTCGATGTTACGATGGCGATACGATAAAATTGTCACCGACAACCTCACATCGTTCGAGTGTGCAGACGACGGACCAGCCCCTCCCCACCCAGCCCCCTCCCACCCCCCACCCAGCCCCTCCCTCCCCTCCCACCCCCCCACCCAGCCTCACCCCCCACCCAGCCCCACCCTCCCCTCCCCACCCAGCCCCACCCCACCCTCCCCACCCAGCCCAACCCCTCCTACCCCCCACGCAGCCCCACCCTCCCTACCCAGCCTCTCCCCACCTCTCCCCTCCCCACCAAGCCCCTCCCCACCCAGCCCCTCCCCACCCTCCCCTCCCCACCCAGCCCCACCCCTCCCATTTTTGGATGCACGGCGGAAACTCTACGTTCCTCAGGCGGGAGCAAGGCTTATCCATAGGACAAACCGCTGCCGGCTTCCCTACCAGAGTGGTGCTTATTTTAACGCCGCCAGATAGACAACCTCCGACCAAACGTGAACTCGATTGGGAACCTCTCGCTCGCACGCACGCACGCACGCACGCACGCTCGCTCGTTCGACCGGCAAACCGCCACGTGGCTAATAACGACAACAATTATATTAACATAATACAATCACGATGAAGCCGCTGACGATGACGACGATACGTTGATGATGATGATGATGTTTACACAGCGGCGGCGTCTGCAACGACGCTGGAAAGTGTGCGCACCGCGGAAGCGAGCGGCCGCACATGTGGTACGGATTTGCACGTTCCTTAATCCGGGCCTTATCTGACCTCCCGCGACAGCGGACCGTGGCGGACATTCATCACGACCGACGTTTGGAAATATGTCGGTGTATTTTTTGGAGTTTTTCGGGCCGCGCATTTTCACCGCGGCGTCAGCGCGACGCAGACGCACGCCAGCGCGGCAGAGCGACGGCGCTTGCGATCCGGCGGGCAGAACCCCCCCCCCCCCCACCAATGCTCAACGTGCCTCGCCATCGCTTCCTTCCTTCTGGACGGATCCTATAGCCGGGCCGCTCCTCTTAAAGGATAAAGTTACGCATTCGTTCGCAAGGCGGGCGAAAACAATAGACGAGCGGGGCGAGGGGGAGGGGGGTAAGGAAGGCGGTCAGTACCGGCGCTAGCAACTATTGCCCAAGCTCTGCAACCCTATAATTAGGAATGGAAAGGCCGAATCCCATGAACGCACGGCGGCGCTTGCTCGCGACCTCTCGGACGGTCCGCTCAAAACCGCGGGCGCCGGAGACGTCACGTTGTTTCGACCGTGGCGAGAGAGAGAGAGAGAGAGTGCCATCATTATTAGAAGAGAGAGGAAAACAAACGCCAACCGCCGCCGTGTGGGTTTTTACACCAGCGCAAAACCAGCCACAACGATGAAAACATTCTGGAGGGGAGGGGGGGGGGCGGCGCGGAAGGGAAGAAGATTCAAAGTGCGTGTCATGGTGAAGCGGCACAATGCAACGACCACGTGCACTGGACGTGGGGAGCAGGGACGGGCAAAGGAACTTCGGCAGAAGGGGAGAGGAGTACAAAGAGGCGGACGCTGACGCCACCCTGTAGACCCAAACGTAAAAACCACGTGTGTGCGCTTGTGGTGTTGGCCGTGAGCGGGAATCTAACTCGGGTCCCCGGGTTCAGAGCGTGTCCACAAACGCAAACCAAGTGTTTGGAAAGCGCTAGCCAAGCCATTCCACGAGGAATCAATTGGATATTTGGTCGGCCACTAACCCATGATTCTAGATTTGAAGTTTTCGTGACTGCAAGGATTCATACTCTTTGTTTTTCGGTAAAGTCACGTAGGTAAAAAATTTAGTTAAAATTAATAAAAAATAAAATATTAATAAATCACGACTCCGAAACATCGTTATTTTTTATTATTTTAATTTGATTAATTTTAATTTCATTTTTTACCTACGTGACTTTACCGAAAAACTACGCATAAGAATGTCGGACACTTCGTTTAAAAAAATAAAAAGACACTCGCTACACCTGAACGGGGGCGGGCGGGCGGGCGGGCGGCAGTGGGTGGGTGAGGGAGCTCGTGGAAAATTGCAGAAACTTGGCAAAACAAAACATTTCCACAGCTTGGCGAGTGAGCGAGCGAGCGAGCGGGGCTGGAGGAGGGGGGGCTGGCGGGCGGGCGAGCGAGCGAGCGTCGTCAAGGAGAGACCGCGGCAGGCAAACGACGTGAGCTGAGTGGGAAGGAATCCTAAACGCGGTGGAAATTCCGCCCGGCGGTGGTGGCGGTGGCGGGAGGTTTCTCGTAACCGCGGTGAGTCACGTCCCAACCGCCGGTGGCCTCGGATCGGTTACTTCGGCCAGAGTAACCGCGGAGAGGCGGTTACGGAATTCGCCGGATTATCACCACTGTTTCATTTGCTTTTATGGCTTTATTTTGGTGTTTTTCGAGAAGTTTTTTGGTTTGGCCATGTTTGTTTGTTGTAGTGCGGAGTTAGACTGATGGCCTTAATCTAAGTTGTCTTGTGGTTGTTGTTGTTTGACTTGCATCCCACTGGGATTTTTGCACACAGCGTTGGTGTACGGTGATTTTTCTGCAATGTTTTGCTGTCTTTTCTTGGATTTTCTGTTTGCACATAGTCACTTTAAGATGTTTTCTTGTTCGTGTTTTTTGTTTGTTGCGGTTGCACCCGATTCAAGAGCCAAATGGCTCACAGGGCTATACCTAATAAATGAACTTAAAATCACAAAGGCGACAGTCATCGATATGAGCACGCACGCCATTAGCTTGATGCGTTCGATTAAGAGGAACAATGTACAGCTCCTTTTGTCAATCTACTGCTGGATGAAGTCATCCCTCCCCCGCAAGGCTGCGTCAGTCGTGAGGGTTGTTTGACCATACTTCACCACACCGGTCGGCGTGTGTTGATGAAGGGCGATAACCCAGGACCGGTTCGCCTGGTGTACAGGAGGTCGTGGGTTCGATCCCGATCCTGACGCCTGCTGCTGTATATTTGGAGTTTGCCTGTCTCTCTCTCTCATCATCATCATCACGGTGGCTAGGAGATGTTAACTACCTCGCCTGGTGCACAGGAGGTCGTGGGTTCGATCCCGATCTTGACGCCTGCTGCTGTATATTTGGAGTTTGCGTCTTTCTCTCATCATCATCACGGTGGCTAGGAGATGTTGACTACCTCGCCTGGTATGCAGGAGGTCGTGGGTTCGATCCCAACCCTGACGTCTGCTGCTGTATATTTGGAGCTTGCGTCTCTCTCTCTCATCATCATCATCACGGTGGCTAGGAGATGTTAACTACCTCGCCTGGTGAACAGGAGGTCGTGGGTTTGATCCCAATCCTGACGCCTGCTGTGTATTTGGAGTTTGCGTGTCTCTCTCATCATCATCATCATCACGGTGGCTAGGAGATGTTAACTACCTCGCCTGGTGTGCAGGAGGTCGTGGGTTCGATCCCAACCCTGACACCTGCTGTATATTTGGAGTTTGCGTGTCTCTCTCATCATCATCACGGTGACTAGGAGATGTTAACTACATCGCCTGGTGTACAGGAGGTCGTGGGTTCGATCCCGACCCTGACGCCTGCTGCTGTATATTTGGAGTTTGCCTGTCTCTCTCTCTCATCATCATCATCACGGTGGCTAGGAGATGTTGACTACCTCGCCTGGTATGCAGGAGGTCGTGGGTTCGATCCCGACCCTGACGTCTGCTGCTGTATATTTGGAGCTTGCGTCTCTCTCTCTCATCATCATCATCACGGTGGCTAGGAGATGTTAACTACCTCGCCTGGTGAACAGGAGGTCGTGGGTTTGATCCCAATCCTGACGCCTGCTGTGTATTTGGAGTTTGCGTGTCTCTCTCATCATCATCATCATCACGGTGGCTAGGAGATGTTAACTACCTCGCCTGGTGTGCAGGAGGTCGTGGGTTCGATCCCAACCCTGACACCTGCTGTATATTTGGAGTTTGCGTGTCTCTCTCATCATCATCACGGTGACTAGGAGATGTTAACTACATCGCCTGGTGTACAGGAGGTCGTGGGTTCGATCCCGACCCTGACGCCTGCTGCTGTATATTTGGAGTTTGCGTGTCTCTCTCTCTCTCCCCGTGGTCGCGTGGATTTTTTCTCCAGGTCCACCGGTTTTTCCCTCCACATTTAGAATCAACCTCTCGCGTTCAGAGTATTTGGCTTACTGCTATAAAATCACAAGTGATGATGATGGTGATGATAAGTCCACTTCGTTGAGCTATCATTTGCGATGGCCAGGCCGCTTCTGTATATAAACAATATCTAGCTTAGTAGCGCAACCTTCAATGGCAAAACAAAAATTGTTGTTTTTAGTTTACTCGCCAATGATGTGAAAAATAGAGGCGAGCGGGGAAGGAGGCAGCAGAAGCAATCACGGCATGAGCCGACGTCAAATCCCCCCCCCCCACACGCCTCACCCCAAGCTCTGCAGTCCTCTACGTATCAAGACGTTGTCGGGCAATTAATGGGCACCCGGAGCAAACCCAATGAATGCGAGGGTGGGGGGAGGGAGCAACGCTCGATCCCATCGTGACAAAACGGATGGAGTGCACACTTGGCTGTACCGCATTCTCCTGGCGAAGAGCCAGGCTCCTGGCCAGAGAGGGGAGTTTTACACCTCCCCCCCGCCCTTTCCTTGTGGCGATCCGCCAACCCTACACTGCTGCAGCTGTGGTTGCTGATACTGCTGCTGCTACTGCTGCTGCTGTAGCTGCTACTGCTGCTGCTGTGGTTGCTGATACTGCTGTAGCTGCTACTGCTGCTGCTGTGGTTGCTGCTACTGCTGCGGCTGCTCCTGCTGCTGTGGCTGCTGACGCTGCTGCCGCTGCTGCTGCTGCGGCTGCTGCGGCTGCTGCTGCTGCTACTGCTGC